TGTGTGTGTGTGTGTGTGTGTGTGTGTGAAGTGCGGCATTAGGCGTTTAACATCCACATTGGGCTGTGCCTTTGGTGCTTCCAGGGAGTTGGCCTGAGAGTTCCTCCGTGAAGAGCTCCTTGGGCGAACTGCGCTGAGCCAGGAAGGGCTAGATGTTCTGAAATGGTGGGGGGAACCCACTCCTGCGGGTGTGAACCAGCTGGTTTCCCTGGCTGCTTTTCTTCCACCTCAAACGGTCACTTCCTCACTCCCTTCCTTACAAGGCTGGCAGCCAAACCAGATTGCCTCAGGCAAACTTGTAGTCTGGTTTTGCCTAAGCTAGGAGGAGCCTATATTTCAGACCACGCTGTCTCTCTTCCCCAGTTCTCATCCAAACAGAGCCCTTAAGTGGCTTTCCTGGAATCCTAGGAAGCCGGCACGCTTCCTAAGTGCAGACACTGCTAACGGAGACAGGCGTTGTCAGGCGTGTCCAGCTAAGACTGCAGGCAGGCCCGGCGTGCCCGGTCCCTAGGAAGGTGGGCTGCTTTCCTGCACTTAAAACCACCTCCGCCTTGTGGGTAGTGGAGCGCTCCATGCGTACGCGCGCCATCCGCCCCAAGCCCAGCTCTGAGTACTGAGGGGACAACACCTGGCAGGCTTTTCCCAAACTGGATGAGGGGGCAGAAGGGCCACTTAATCTGTCAACACTTAGTTTGTTTGAGCACAGCGAAGCCGGGGGAGGTGGGAGGTGAGAAAGTCAGCGGTCTCTAGTTTCAAGTCTCTGTCGTTTTGCAGAGATCGGCTTTTGCCCGAGGTGCGCCGAGAGCTCAGAAACTATCTCCCGCCCCGCAGTCCCTCCCTCCTGCCCCCTCTCCTCCCGGGTCCCGCCCTCCCGCACACGCCGACCCAGGGACACACCCTGCGGCAGCGACGCAAACAGGGCGTTGTTCCCGTTAAAGGGGACGCCGGGAGCCTCCCACTGCCCCCTTGCTTAGCGCGCGCGCATCCTCGCGGCACAGCTGTCTGGGGACTCCACCAACCCAGGGAACGCACCCGAGAGTGTGCCTGAGTCACCTCGATCCCGGACGGCTGTTCCTTTGGGCTGTAAGTAATTTTGTGGGGAAGCTGGAGGAGAAACGTGGGCATCAGCCGTCGGTGATGTTCCAGAAAGCTGAGAACAGGCGCGGGCTCTGGTCAAGTCCTCCCTGTCTTCCGTCTGGAGCTGGGAGACCCCTCCAGCCTCTCTGAGGGATATACGTAGTGAGAAGTGTGGTTTTGCCTGTAGGCCGGACAGGGAAAGGGTGATGCCTGGACAGAAGATACCTAGGCGTTGTAACCCTTTGCCAGGAGGCGTCGGCTCTAGGACGCCCTGGAGAAACCGTCCCTAAGGTAGACATCCCGGGCGGGGTCTGGACCTCTGTGGTCCTGGCCACATGCTTGAACTCTCCCGGGCTGTAGGAGCCATCAGATTTAATTTTAACCCTCTGGAAGAAAACAGAAAACTGCTTATTTCTTCTGTATACTCCACGGTTTCTTTGGTTGTGTTGCTTGTGGAGAGAAACGGAGGCTTCTGAGATTGGGTACTTAAAAACACTCATTGAAAAAAAAAATCATCGAACCTCTTTTCCGTGCCGACGCCTCTGTCTTTAACTAGTCTTCGCGGACACAGCTAGTCTTCCAAAGCTGTACTTGTCCCCAGGTCATCCCAACCTGTCGCCTCCCCCACCCCGTCTATAAAACGAGGGTCTAGGTAGAGACCTCATAGCTTCGAATGGAAGATGGACTTCCGGCTCTGATGGGCTGGAATTCTTCTCTTTCCCAATCAACCCTTTATTCTCTGTCTCGAGCCAGTCATCTTGGGACCAGGCTCCTAGGCTCTTGCGCTGCCGCGCCCAGGCTGGATTCGGGTCTGGATAGGATCCGCGTCTGGGCTGTATGTGCTGGGGCGCAGACTAATGCCGCATGAGGGCTCACCAAGTGGGCCTCACCCAGGAGTGGGACGTCCCCCGAACCCCAAGTCCCGCTGGGCTGCTCAGGAAAGCTCCTGGTGGGGGAGCTGAGAGAGCGTAGAGTCCGGGCAAAGCTCCCAGGCTGTTCTTTCCTTTCCACACTCCCCCGGTTCTGCGCCGCCTCTCCCGCGCTCTCAGGCCAAGCTGGGGCCAGGACGGTTCCCCCAGGCTGGCAAGGTGGGTACTGCCACCCTAGCTGGGTGGTACTTGGAGAATAACTAACGGGATGCAGTGCGCACTGGGATTTGGGGAAGCGGCCTCCCTGCAGCAAGCCGCTGGTGACCCCAAGCTTCTGGCAGAAATTGAGGCGCCAACTTCCCTCCATCCAGGGGGAATTCGTCATCTGATCCCGGGTACAGGAGAAGGTGGCCTCTCTTCTTTCCCAACTTAGGCTGCCTTCGGCAGGCGCCCGGGTCAGTTGGGGTCCTGAGGTGGCCTCCTCTCGTCATTCTGGAAACTCCTCTCCTCCCGGGCGATTGAGACGTACACACCGCCTGTTTTGTTAAAAAAGCAAAAGATGTTCCATCAGGGGCGGGCCCAGCTAGTCGATGGGCGTGGCTCTGTGTGCTGTCGCCCACTCTGGGCAGCCAGGAGGGCGGCTGGAGGGTGAGCTCCCCGGCGTGGGCGGGCGGGCCTGCGGGCAGAGCGGTGCCAGGCAGGGCATTCCGCTAGCGCGGGGACCCTCCCTCCGCGCGCGCCTCCCTTGCTCTGCCGCCTGACCAACGCAGCTCTCCGGCCAGTGCGCCCGCCTCACACCCTGCTTGGGCTCTTTCTCCGAGCAGGCAGGAACTCCGCGGAGCACACCTCGCCGCCAGAATGCTCCTCCTGCTGCTGGGAATCATCGTCCTCCACGTCGCTGTGCTAGTGCTGCTGTTCGTCTCCACGATCGTCAGCGTGAGTGCCCAGCGGCGGGCGATCCCTCCTCCAGGCTCCCAGCCCATTCACCCCTGGGCTGTTCGCAGACAGCTAGAGTCTCAGATGCCCCAGGGTGGTTTTTGCAGTGTCTGGCAATCTGCCTCTTTTCAGTTGTTTTGAGAAAACCAGAGCGAACCCACGGGGAGGGAGCAAGCCAGCGCTGGAATAAGTTAGCTGTCCAGGCCTCTGTTTTATACAGTATAATTTCGGGGCCCGTCTAAGGAACGACCCCAGCTTTCATTTTGATAAGATTGTTCAGCGTCTTTTTCTTGATGGGGCCTGGTTGAAGAAGAGGAGAATTTATGAACATGTGTTTTCCCCCAAACCATGGTTCATATGGCTGGGTTAATTTGTAAAACACTTTAGAACTTGAAATTAGAAAAAATTTGCATGTCTCAGGTTTGCTTTATGATGTGACCACAGTACCTCGTTAGTCAAATCTCCAATGATATGAACAGGTCAGCAGAATAACTGGCTGAAAAACTATCAGATATGTTTTAAACGATTTTTCTATGCTATGAAGATGAAACTCAACTCAGGTAGTAAAGTGCCTATGGCTTTAACGTCTTAGTGTAAGGGAAATTGTAAGCATGATTTTCTGGTCTGAAAAATTATTTTTTTGGAAATTTTCAAATTGCCTTATCATTTATAAGGATCTTCACAAGACCTTAATTATGCCTGATACTAATCTTGTCAGATTAATAGGAATTATAAATAAGGAAATGGGTTTGAGAGGTGTTGGTTTGGGGAATAATTCCCTAGGAGGCGAGAACAGGAGAACTAATTAAGAGGATTTGTTCTGGTGTGAGCCTATATCTCTTCAACCTCACTACACAGCCCTGCACATAATAGTGTGTGTGTGGGGGGGGTATATTTTTCCATTTGTAAAGTGCTTCTCACTCACAGAAATGTTGGCTTTTACCTCTGTATGTACCAGATTGCCTTCTCTTTTGTTTCTGGACCATAACTGAGCTTTAACAGTGTCCTGGGCAGGGCAAGGGTGGGCCAGGCAGCCAGGCAGATGGAGCTGCTGCTATTTGCCATTGCTTGGCCGCTCCTCTTACCTTATAGCCTCCCTGATTGTAGATATCTGATTCTTTCTAGCAATGGATCGTGGGCAATGGACACTCAACTGACCTGTGGCAGAACTGTAGCACTTCCTCCTCTGGAAACATACAGCACTGTTCCTTGTCATCGGTAAACGGTAAGACTGGCTTTCTGCTTCACAAGCGTGTCCTTAGGTGTCTCTTCCTCAATTTAGACCTGGAAACACTTGTTCGTGGAAGATGTCAGCTAGAAGGCTGTGGCTGTGGTGAGCTGGGATGTGACTCAGAGCAGTGAATCCAAAGGGAGAGGAAGGGGGCCCTTGCCTCATTGAGGAAGCCCAGCTCGTGGGAGTTATTACATTTCCCTTTGCCTAGAAAAAAATGTCCTGTGTTTCCTCCTGATCACTCTGTGAAATGCTTTTAGTGAGGCAAGGAATGTGGCCACAGGTAAGCAGTAGAGGTGGCAGAAGAGCTAAACCGTAAGCAAATCCCACTGGGACATGTGAGCTAAGGGGAAGTTGTCTGTCTGGTGGGTGTCTCTATCAAGAGTGTCTTGTTTTCCTGCTGCAGTCACAGTGGGCTGTTGCAAGTAAGACTGGGCCAGCTTTGGTTCTCCTAGTAACAACACTACCTTCCCAGGTCTTATGCCTCAGTTCCCTGTTGCAGGAATAGGGGATATGAGCTATTTGCAAATTCTTAAACTGAGCCTCGTGATCTTTTATCCAGAGTATTATATTTCTCCGCTGTCATCAGCATCTTTCCCTATGAGATATTAGATCCAGTTAGGGGGATAGCGGCAGAGGAGCACCCAGTAGATTCCCTGTACACGTAGAGGGGAGGCCCAGCAGGAGGTCTTGTGTCTCTGGGTGCACAGAGGCAGAAGTGAATAGAATCTGCTGTTTGGTGGCTGGGTAAACCCCTAGAGGCTTGGTTCGCTTTGGGCTTGTGTTCCAGAGGCTATGTCTTCAGCCTGTAGCCGGAAGTACAGGAGCTGTGACACCACATAGCTGCCCTAAACTACTTGTACATCTGATATTTATGTTGGAGTTGCCATACCGATGAGAAGAGACCGGTTTAGATCCAGCTCAGTAAAGCCAGCTGTGAAGTATCCCTGGGTTCTGGCTTTGTGCAATTCGGTGCCTCTGTTGGACTCTGTTACGTAGGCTCCACACCAGAATCATGAAGCCAAATACCTAGAACACTGGGTATAAATAGAAATTGCGGATATACTCATGGGGTAACTTACATGGGGCTAATAGGCAGGGATAGAAAACCCAGGTTTATGTTTCCACTTTCTTGGCGAAGGAGATAGGTGGGGAAACCCTAGTTCTATTGAAGTGAACCGTGCTTAATCTTCTCTTGAATGTGGGAGAGACTTGAATTAAAGCCAACCTAGAGGTTGCATGTTGAGTTTACAATGTAAGTTGGCAACCAAGTAAATGAAATATTCATGACTACCTGCAAATGTGATGATAGGACTGCTTGTCCCCAAAGCCACAGCATCGGGTTTCCCCCCATTCAACATCAGAAGTTCCCTATACACAGGCGTCTCCTTACTCGCTACTGCCACCTGGCGTTCACAAGTGGTGACTTAGCCTGAAAAGGGTAGGATTTCTGGTTTTCGTGTCCACAGGCGCCATCCCCAAGTGGCATCCGGCCATGCGGGTTTGGCACAGAATCCTGGACTCTTGGGCCCGGAAGGGGGCAGTTTTGGCAGGCGAGTTAAAGCCAGGCTGAATTTCAGCAGAAACGAGGCGGCAGAGGAAATGCTAAATAGTGCGCAAGCCGTGCTTAGGCAGGAGAGTGACTTCGGAGAAGCAGTTGCTGACCTGCCTTCTGTGCTCTGCGAATGTGTAGACAACTGTCACTTGGCGATAGCAGCAGATCTCAAAGAGGCACAGTCTTATTTTCAGCGGAAAACTTCTTATTTCTCAGCTTGATCCTTCTATGCCAAGCTCCTTTTCTTGGGTCCATTTACAGTGACTTTGATGTCGTTATGTGGGTTCCAGATCTGCCTGATTGCTTTCAGTGAGGCCCCAGAAGATACAGTCTCCTCCCTATCTGCTGTCTCTGCTCTCACAGTAAGGGTATTTTGAGGCAGTCTGGACATGCCCCTAAACAACCCGGGCATGTTTCCATGGAGGCTTATTGTAAACTAGAAGCTTCCAACCCCCCATGGTAATTATCTTTGTGGACATCTCCCTGCTGCTGTCAGCCTGTGTCACCGGCTCTGCTTAGAGAATCCTTGGGGACGGGGCAGGTCTCCTTAGTCTTTTGCATTGGGGTTAAACTATTTCAAACCATAAGGTGAAAAAATATAGATTTTTTTGAAGCATCAGACTGCCTTTACAAACTATATTTGTTGCAAATCATTTACCTTACTCCTAGAATGCTTGAAACATACTTTTAAAAATAATATAGAGTGAGTTTTCAATTAATATTCATTGGCAAAGGATCTATTGCAAGTCTATTATGTGAAAATACCTTGGTTGGCATGACTTGGTTTTGTCTTTTGTTTTGTGCAAGCCCTTGCTTTAACTGCCCAGGCTGACTCTAAGGCCGGTCCTCAGGGAATCCTCCTGCCACAGCCTCTTGAGCATCTGAGACTAGAGGTGCACCTCTGTCCCCAGCTGTGACTTTTTTTTTCCTGAAAGGACTAGCTTTTGCACCTTTGGGGCTGGGTGTATGTGTGTGAGGTGGTCACCTTTGCATTCTTTCCTGTGTAAATAGTACCTCTTGGGATTGTGCTTTGAGGCAGTTTAACATCAATACTATAGAATTTGAAGTTTTCCCCCCAAAGTCTAGTATCTTTTGATACTAGGAGTAGTTTTAGATTCCTTAGTAATTGCCCTCAGAGTCTCTCTCTGTCTTCCTTTTCCCCCCTAAATTTATTTATCTACTTTCTGGCCTGTACCTGATTCTGGCTTGGATCTTATTCATTTGAATGCCTTGCAAGCCATGGATATACAAGGACCTGGAAATTGTGGGTCTTGCCCTTAGGGGTAATGAGCCTCACTGAGGAGTCAGGCCCTAAGAATGTGAGGCAAGGTCAGATGCCTAAGGAGTGGGGGCAGAGTTCAGGGAGGAAGTAGAAGGGATATCTCCAGTAGGAGGTAGAATTTGATCCATCTGGACTGCGGGATTTAAGTAAATACAGGCAGGGGGAGGATATTCCCTGTCTGAACAGTGTGTGACCAAAAGCAAGGAGACAGCAATGCATGGGATGTGGTAGACCAGTTGGTTATTGTTCTGGATAGAATTGAGGGGCACAGGACAGACAACCTTCAAATATTGGTGGCTTAAATTGCTGTATTTCTTTCACTTTGAAAGAAGTCTGAAAGTATGCAGTCCAAGGGAGGTACAGTAGTTTCATAAAACCGTCAGAGACACAGGTAATTTCTATGCCATTTCTTGAGTTTAGCTCTCATCCTCATGCACTAAAGGCTGCTAGAGCTCTACTCATCTAATCTACGCTCTAAGCAGCATGGTGAAAAAAGGAGGAAGGGAACGATGTGTCCTTTTCCCTTTAAGTGAAATGTTCCCAGATGTACCACCACATTTGTTTCTTTTATTAGGACTTAGTCCCATGGTCAGACCTACATTCATGTATAAGGAGGCTGAAAAATGCAGTATTTGGTCTCATGGGAAGCAGTTTCTCAGTTGTAGAAATTTTAAAGCAATTTCTGTAAGGCTGTCTTAAAATGCCTCTCTGAGGCCTTGACTGTCTGTCACACCCATTCATACTCTTTTACAATAGCTCAACTGGGTTGTCCTCTATATCTAAGCAGGGTCCGATTCTTAGCATTTTCCATATATTCCATCTATACTCTACCCTGGGTTCTGACAGCAATACCACCAGTCTTGTGCTGACCCATATCAGAAACTGTAGAATATTTTCAAGCTTCTTTCTCTTTCTCTCCCACCTCCCCAGCCACGAAGTCTTGCCATTGTTTAATATGTCTCTTCAATTTTTACTTGCAGGGCAGACCTCTCTTCTGAAATCCAGGCCTGATTTCCTTGTCTATTAGACAGTTCTAGTTGGAAGTGAAAAAGGCTCCTTCCCCGGTCAGCATTTTCAAAGTCAGTCTTTACCTGCCTCTTCCAAACCATTGCCACTTTCTGGTATTTTCATGAACACTGTTTCTCCTGCCGGCATGCCGGGCATCTAGCTCTTCTTGATGTGTTTCCTTCGGCCTCCCTTCTCAGAATCATCACAGGACCCACAAGCTATCGCGTTGTTTTGTGCCTGGCCACACCCACAGTCCAACCATCTCTGTCTGCTTCAGTCCTGGATGCAGGTTTCTGACCAGCTAGGCCTTTTCTGCTTTTTTGTGATTCACTTTTCAGGTCAAATCCAGGCTCCTGTTTTTAAAATGCAAATCAAAGTGGATCACTCCTGATTGTACCCTCTTTCAGGGACCCCTCATTGGTCTCCATTTCCAGCTGCAAATCTTTTACGAGGCCCACGGGAACCTGCCTGAAGGACTTCTTTCTGCTCCCCTTGAATCTCATCTCCCGTCTCTCTTCTCCTTCGCCTTTGAATCTTAGCACTAGATTTGTTACTTCCCTGAATGCAAACTTGCCATGCTTAGCGTTCTTTTTTCTCTCTCCTTCCCACCATCTTCGCTCCCTGTCCTTCCGCCTTCCTTCTGCTCTTTCATTCAGAACTGTTTGTTGACTGAGTGCCAGTTGCCAGATTCCGTTGTGAATAAGAGTTTACAGGGAGGGCACGTGGCAAGGCTGGCCATGATCATGGACGACAGGAGTGCAGGGCTGGGAACTGGAAAGAGAACAAGATGACCAGGGGTCATCTGATGAGCACTTCAGGGAGGTTCTATGCAGAAGGATATAAAGTATAAGACAGCCGGGGAGGAAGGTGCTCACCATTGTTGAGGAGGAGAGAGTGGGCCAGAGCAGTGGGGCTATGTTTAGCTTGTCCTGGAGGTCCTTTTAGACACTAGGGAGAAGACTGATACGTATGGGTGCATTTCTAATTTGAGTGATTTCATTTAGACCTGCTTGAAGTTCTCAGTAGTCTCCTTTATTCCAAGATGAAGTCACAGCCCAGAAGCAGCCATAAAACAGAATGCATTTGAATTTTTACAAAGTACAAATGTACCAAAACATTTTCAGTGATGATCCTGGATGGCAGGATTCT